GGTATCGGATTCGTCCAAGCCCTAATTTGACTTTTACGGGTTGCGAGTTTGGGAAGCAGGACAAGTCCGAGTGTTAAAAACCCTATGACTTTGTTGGGGTTTTTTTTTTTCGGGTAAGATCGGATAATATAAGAATGCTTAATATCTTGTACAGTATTTGACAGATATTTGAATATAACAGAGATATTGTTATCCAAAAGTGTTTTGTGTACATTTGACAAAACTAGATAACACATAAAATAGTTAGTAAATAAGTCTATAACACCTTGATTTTGCAACAAGCACTGTTCATTGAAGAGTGCTCGCTGCTTAGGACATGCACCGTGCAACCTCCTTGCAACAGCGACGCCAACACAAGGTCGCCCGGGGACGCCTAGGCGAGAGCACCTCGCGACCTCCTCCTGGGGAGGTTGCGCGCTGCAAAGAGGTCGCGAAATTAGATCTACATGGAGAGAGCGAAACACAGGCAGAGAGCAAGTGTTGTGATGTTGCTTGGGGACCACTACACAAACGACCTACAGGCCATGGCGATGGCAGCGGTGACCACCACCAGCTGTGACATCGCCATGGAGCTACAACCACCGCGAGGTGTTCGCGTCCCCCTAGATTTAGAATGGCGATCACCATCGAGGTGGTCGCGCTACTTGCCATGGTGGCCGTGCTTGCCAAAGGACGGTGATCACCGTACCGTTGGAGATGTAACCACTGCCTGTGGTCGCAGTTCACAACACCACCATTGTTCTCCTCCCTCTTATCTCTCGATTGTACAATGCGACATTTTTTTTCCTAAATGGAATTTCTTTATCTCGATTATATTCGATCATATCCAAATCAAGTGCTGCATCAAACCTCGGATAGTATAAAAGTTATCATATCCGAAACTATATCCGATCCACCAAACACAGCCTATAATATTTGAGACGAGTATGGAAATTATATCCGGACAGTAGATAATTACTCATTTTCTCGTCAAGTTTGGGGCGGGTTTGAGTACCCGCTAATTCGAATGGCACTGGTTCGGATAGCGACGAGATTGGGAAGGTATCGATATTCGCCGGGGTCGCTCCAAACCCGTCCTGTTTCCATCCCGATTTGTTTCTCTTTGCAGTAATTACGAATGGAGATAACAGAAATTAAGTGATGACATTGTCAAATTATAACCTAGGAGGTGAGAAGAAAAGGTAATGACAGCATTGGCGCCGGAGGAACTTTTAAAGGGCTAGTGATGCCTCCCCATTAGTCATAGCCACGGTTCGGAACCGGCGGTTCCAGTTCGTGGCCAAATATGAACCGGACGGTTCCGGTCCGGTTCCGGTTCAGGTTCGGAACCGGTTCCGGGCCGGTTCATAATTTTTTTTTCTGTTTTTTTTCTTTTTCTTTTCCTTTTCTTTTTTTTTTCTTTTCTTCCTCCGCCGGCCATAGCCGGGGCCGGCAGAGGTCGCCGGCCTCAGGCGAGGCCGCCCTCGCGGCGTCGGGCGAGGGCCGCCCTCGCTTGGGCTGGGCGAGGCCGGCCTCGCCAGATCGGGCGAGGGCTCGACCTCGCCGGCGTCGGGCGAGGCCGGCGAGGCTCGACCTCGCCGGCAATTGGCGAGGCCAGCCTCCCCTGAGGCCGGCGAGGTCGAACCCTCGCCAGATCTGCAGTTTTTTTTTTTTTTGAACCGGGCCTGGAATCGGCGGTTCCGAGCACGTTCAAAAATTTCTGGAACCGGAACCGGGCCGGTAGGGCACGGGCCGGTTCCGGTTCCAAACCGCGGGCCGGGCCTGGGTTTGACCGGGCCCGTTCCGATCTGGTTCCGGGTCGAAACCGGCCCGTGGCCATGACTACTCCCCATCCCCATTAGGTCCCAAAGAATCATTACCAATTGGTGAAAAAAGAGTTAAAAAAATGTTATGTATACTTAAAGTTCTAGATCCGCCATTATGACACCCTAACAAAGTGTTCACTTGGGAAAGGAAAGGACATCATGGACGGTGAAGAAAATGAAGGGGAAATTTTCCTCCGAGGACAAGTATAAAGAAGGGAAAATGACATAAATAATTTTTGAATTTTGGCCCAATATGCAATATGATTCATGAACTTTTTAATTTATTCAATGTAGTCACTGAAATTTAATCCAATGTGTAATGTGGTCCCTGAAATTTTGATTTATTCAATGCCGTCCTTGAATTTTTTGTACATGCTCAATTTAATCCCTAAATTCAAGTTTGGAGACTACAATGAACATTTTCATATAGTTCAGAGACTACATTGAATATGTACAAAAAATCTAGAGATCCTATGCCATAATTCAGGGACTGTTTGTGTCATTATCCCTATAAAAAAAAAACAATCTCTCTCAATGAAGTGAAAAATAAAAAATTCGTGGACCGGATGCGATCGCAGCCGTCGAATTCCACGGGACTCGGACGAGATCTACGCGAGTATGTATGTATACGAATAAGGACCACGATTGGCCCGACCCGTCTTCCGACCCGGCCCAAAAGCCTAGTGGCTAGAGAGCAACCTTGAAAATTAATTGTCAGCAAACGGTACACACGCTATATCCATCTTTAACACCCATTTCCCACAAAAGGGTTCATTCCAATACTCCAACATGTTTGAGAACAGAGCAGGATAAAATAAACCTGGCCACTCCTCTCGTGCAAAGATCGTGGAGTTTTGAGGGCCAGGGAAAAGGCCACGTGGGCGCATGCCCTGATTTCGCCACTTCGAAAATGTGACGGTGTTAACTACATGTTGATAACAAAGAACTCGATTGCGCGAGCCGTCGAAGATGGAGGACTACATTTTAACGGAAAGAAATAGCCGGAGGACCGAATCGCGCGCAAGGCTAACGATGGCTAAAGCCGTAGTTTAACCCCTTGGTAAGAAGATAGAGAAATCATTCATGGTGAAAGCTACATGGTCCTATCATCGCTAGTGTTGTCTTATGAAGTGAAAGCTAATGGGAGGTTTCGTGAACCGACCGATAGCCATTAAGGTTAGGTGGGCTCGCAAACAAAAGTTTGGACAATGACTAGCACTGATAGCATGTCTTTGATGCTATATGTTCGAAATTCCTAGGCCATGAGCTTAATTTACCGAAAAGATTGAAGTTATATAAGTATACGTGGTGTCATAACATGGAAAGTTCCACGGCCAATGCTCGATCAAGTTCGATTACGAGAGTCTAAGCGCCGATCCTGTGGATCGCCAACAGGCTCGAGCTTGCACTCGTGGTTCGAATTCTACTCCGACTGTGAAATATTACGAGACCGCTACTGAAAGTTTAAGGCGTTAAACATAGTTTAAGATTTAGCTAATTGAACGCCCTCTTGTGTGTAGGTTAGATTTTCGGCTTAATCAAAGCATAGCAAATACCTAATAGGGGGGGCAGACCGGTAGCCACACGAGGCGAAATATGAGGAGGATAAGGAAACGAATTCCACATTCGGCAACTCAAATCACCAAATCCTCCCCCCCTTTCCTTTCTTTTTTTTGCCCTTTCTTGAAAAGTGGGTTTGAATAGTCAATGGAAAATTCAAATTGCTATTCTACATATAAAAAAAATTACATTCTCTATTTTTTAATTTTTTTTTGGCTGTTTTCTCTTTTTCTCCGAGGCCGAATTCCACTTTCCGCACTCCACATTCAACCCTTTTCCCAAATAACAAATATGGAAAAAATAATCTTCGCTGCCCCTATTTCTTTGACGGTTCATGTCACGAAAAATTTCAAACTGGTACATTTGTGATAAATTTACCCCGAGCTAACTTTTTGACCACCACCAAACCGGTACACCCGCGACAAATTTACCCTCCGTTAAATTGGATTAATACAATGAAAAATCACAAATTTGCAAATCTGTGATAAATGGAGGGGTAAAATCATAAATCAGTATACCTGTCAACTGCCACGTGTAATCAAACTCAACACAATTTGACAATAAAATTTAACGGAAACTAACGGAGGGTAAATTTATCACGGGTGTATTAATTTGAGATTTTTCGTGATATTAACCCCTTCTTTTACATCCCAATTTATTTTTTTATGCCTTTATTATTTCCCCACCCTAAAATCCCTCCCGAATATAAATCTCAATTTAAAAATCTTCCCATTTCGACAATTCGGCAAAATTACGGGACGGGGCAGTTTGGGACCGGAGCTGACGTCAACGGGGTGCTTAAAATTCTTCCGGCGCCAAGTTATGATTTCTTCTTTGACCAAAAAAAAAAGTTATGATTTCTGCTAAAAAAAGAAAATAAGAATTAATTAGGCGGAAAAAAATGATTAAAGAAAAATCCCGTCGCGTGGCAAACGTGATTATGGCGACAAGCGAGGGAGGGTGAATTAATGACCGATCCCCCAGTCGCCTTTTGCGACCATCATAATCACACCCATCCGAAGGAAGAAAAAAAATATAAAATAAAAAATTGAAAAAGAGAAAAGGAGAAAATAAGAAAACAAATAAATAAAATATTAATACCATAAAAAACCTTAAACCACGTCCATAATATTTTTTTTTAGTTTGTGTGACTAAAAATCTCAAACTTGTCCATTATCACATGCACACCCTGATTTTTTTGTTTTATAAAAAACTCCGAACATATACAAGTATGATAAATATGCTCTGAATGGATTTGTAACAGAGGGTATGTATGTTTTTTGACGGCACGAATTTTTTTTTTTGGGATATTTGGATCACATTGGGCAAGTTTAGATATTGTTACGAGCATTTGTGTCGTAATAAGTATAATTTGAGGTCTTTTAACGGTATTTGTGTTAAATAATAAAAGCGGAAAAACAAAAAGAGGGAAAAAAATTGGAAGTGGACCAGACCGGACCGGAGCCCGTCAAAGGAGGGCGGGGGTGGGGCCTACCGCGGCACGTTAGGACACCGTACCACGCTGTGCCCGACAACACCGTAACACAACCCCCGCCGGTCCCCCCCCCCCCTCTCTCTCTCCAAAAGAAAATACGAAAAAGCCCTTTTCTTTTCCTACTCTTTCTCTCTCCTCTCTCTCTCTACATTTCGAGGAAGAGGAAAAGGGAGAGACTTTGGTTGAGCTCCCCTGAGCTGCTTCGATCTCTCTCTCTCTCTCTCTTCCGCCCTGCAAATCCTCGAGCGAAGTTCCCGCATACTGCAAAGGCTGCGCAGGTAACGCACCAGCTCTCTCTCTCTCTCTCTCTCTCTCTCTACTTCTTGTTCGTCTGTGCTCGAGTTTTCAGTGGGTCCTTCGCCGTTTCCGATTCCGCCCGGGATCGGAGCCGGGGCGGGTCCCGGTCCTCCGTTCTCGGCCGGTGCTCAAGTGGGTCTCGATTCCTCAGATCCGCCGTTGCCCCCCCGGGGATTGGATTTTTCTCCCCCCGCCGGGCGGTTCTTGATCTTCGTGCTGGCGCTGTTGTGTGGGGAGAATTCTCCTGGTTTTCGCTCGCGTCCCGCTTGGTGGGTGGGTTTTGTGGGGGGGGGGGAGGTGGGATCGGAGATCCCGAGTCGCGCGTTTTTGGATGTTTGTTTTTTTCGCGAATGAGCGGAGAAGGACTCTGGCGACTAGCATTTCTGTTCCATGCTGGTTGCTTGTATCGACTTGAGACGGTGTTTGCTTGGTCAAAATGATCTCTTTTTCTTCTTTTTTTTCCCGGTTTGAATTCTATACGAATTGTTTGTCTGCAGGATTGGCTGTGTTGAGATTCGTGTGAGGAGCGCACTTAGTTGAACAATTGGTTTTGCTTGAATGAATCACGGCGACTTCTAGTGGATTGACTTCTGTTCATTGCCCTTTTGACCAGTTGGGTTCTTGGATTCGGGTACCCGGAGCATCTAGGAATGGCAAACCGGATCAAGGAAGACGAGAGAAATGAGCGAATTATACGTGGTCTTCTCAAGCTCCCCGAGAATAAGAGATGTATTAATTGCAACAGCCTGGTATGCAGCGCATTGCTTGCCTTTTGCATTCCGGCTTTGTGCCGCCATGTCACAAATGTCTAAGCCCGTAACTCTATTCATGATCTTTGTGTTAGGACTTAAACAGAGATTATCATACTATTATTAATTTTTTTTTTTAATTCTCTGACTTGAACTGAGTCAGCTGCGACATCATGAAGTAAACAAGTGCACATTTAGATTATTTACTATGTCTAGTATATGGATTGAATTACTAAGCTGCCATGATCAGTTATGTCTCTTATCCTTTTTTGTTGCCAACTGCCAAGCTTGCATATTTGGCTTGAAGTAAGTGGGAAATTTTTTTCACCATCATTTATTTATCGATGCATCGTTGGTACCTTGCTTCTTCCTTTGTTAGTTTAGATTCCAGGGTCAAGTCTGTCAATCCAGTAGACTATAATAGCACCATTACTTTTTTTTCTTCTGAAGCTATGTAGTTCATAGATTCTCTCATAAAACATCTAAACAATAGGGATGTGGTGCAACTCCATGTTAACTTGGGATTGATCGTTCATATTGGAATTTGAACTCTTATCCTGCTCAAATAAATGTGATGTTTATTATGGGAATTCTATTTCTGTGAACAGGGACCACAGTATGTTTGCACCAGTTTCTGTACATTCGTGTGCACAACATGTGGTGGAATACAGTAAGTGCCAATAACCTTTTTACCTTGTTGTACACGTATCAATTCATATGCTTATTTAGCTGTCGGTTTGGAAGATTCAAACTAGTTGTGAAGAGCAAACATGAATATAGTCCATGGACACATCTTGAGGCAAGAGTAAGCAAAAGAGAATTATGAGAGGAGATGAATATGTTCTTACACGCATTACACTTTCATTTGCTTAAACTGAGCTGACCGCTGGCAATTGCTTCAGCCGGGAGTTCACACATCGTGTAAAGTCTATATCAATGGCTAAATTCACCTCACAAGAAGTTAGTGCCCTCCAAGGAGGTGGAAATCAGGTATGTAAGCCTTCCTTATGCTGGACATGCAATAGTGTTGCTAAGCTGTTGACATGACCGCCGAAAAATTGCCTTCCAGCGTGCGAAGGAAATCTATCTCAAGGAATGGGATGCACAGCGTAATTCTCTGCCTGATGGCAGGTACGGTATACAACCAGAACATATATTGTTCTTCTGATAAGTAGAAGGCCATGCATCCTATGGATGTGGTCTTTAGAATCTCGGTTTCCTGATCTGGGTCTCTACTTTCCCAGTAATGTTGACAGGCTGCGAGATTTTATTAAGCATGTCTACGTGGACAAAAGATACTCAGGTGATAGGAGCTATGATAGACCTCCAAGGGCAAAGGTAGGTGCAATGCTACTTATCCTCTTGAGTTATTGATTAGGCTATCGTGATCTCCAGCTAATTTTCTTTACTGTTTCACCAATGAGAGCAGTTTGAATGAACCCAAACTTGTATCTATGAAGCTGTTCATCAATTGTTAACGGTACTCGATATTCTGCCCTCGTCTAATTGTGTACAATGCGCAGAGTGACAAAGAAGACTCATACCAAGGAGGTTCTCGAAGTCCTCCATACGAGGAGACGTATGATCGGCGATACAGCGATAGGTCAAGCTCCGGTGGAAGAAGTCCAGCATACGATCAAGAAAGCAGACAGTATAGTGATTACAAGAGAAGTCCTTCTCGTCCAGATGTAATCAATGATTGGCGTCGAGAGGACAGATTTGGAAATGGAAAGAAATTGGATGATCACCGAACTTCTGATGGAGAATCAAAGATAGGAGGATCACCTGAGCGACCAAAAGATCTAGATACATCTAGTCCACCTATAGTGCGACCAGTTAGGGAAATACTGGGAGATAATGTTTTGCCTCTTCGGATAGCAGAACCTCCAAAAGCCAATGGTACCAGGGCCACTGATGGCTTGGTGCAGACACAGGTGTGGCCTCTTTTTAATGTCAAGAAGATAAATTCTGTAGTGTTCCTGAGTCCATGACCATGGTGGATCCCAAGGTGGCAAATTAACTAGAAAGCTAATAATTCGAGTCCAGAACTGAATCAAATTTTAAATGGTCCATTAGTGCATTGCATGATCAATTCAGATGCAAACCTCTACAGAAGCCAGATGGGGTTTTTCCCTTTCCTTTTTTTGATACTCAATAAGAATCTCTTAAATTGTAATATACCTTCACTGTCTCATCTTCATAGCTAAAGAAAAAAGTCATTGTCTTGTCTGATTGCAGAGGACTGCATCTTCCAGTAGCTTGGGTTCAACAAACGGGAATGTAGCAGAAGTTAAACCCGAGAAAGCAGTTAGCTTAATTGATTTTGATGCCGATCCTGAACCTCCTACTACAGCCTCCACACAGCCACATCCACCTACCATGAGTCAAGCCGCCATTTCTCCACCGATGACTTCTACTAGTCACGATAATTGGGCCTCTTTTGATGCCGCACCTGCAACAATAGTATCACAGCCTCCCTACACAAGTCCCCTGGATTCTGTCATATTTCAGTTGACGACTCCAGCTCCTGCACCTGGTCAACAATCAGGGGGCCCTGGGTTAGGCGGGGCATTTGTTGCACCTGGAGGCAGCTCAGCAGTGTTACCGATGGTTGGTAATTCAATCGCTGCACCTGTAGGTAACACTCCTGGGTTGCCCTTGACTGCAGGTGCTTCCACAGTCGCGCCAGCGGGTGGCTTGTCAACATTTTCTCAAGGAGGTGCTTCAGTCATTGCCCCAGGATTGGTATCAACTTCTGCTGTAAGTGGTGGCCCTGCTTTCAGTACTCCACCTCAGCAACCTAATCTATTCCCAGCAGCTGGTATGCAGACTGCTCAACCATCTTCAATGCACATTCATGGAGCATCTACCAATCAGGTTGGCTATGCTATCTGCATGAATGTTAATGTTGTTTTCTAATGCACCACGTAACCTGTTTGTCTTCTAATCTTTTTCATAGTCCTGGAATGCGTCACCTCCTGCAAATATGCAAGGACCTTTTAGCATGGTTTCGTCTCAAGCACTTCATGCACCAAAACCTCCTGAACAGGTCGCTCCTGGTGTGACTTCACAAAATGTCTCTGCTGAAATAAAATCAAGTTCAAGAAAAGAGTTGCCTGCGGTAATTCTGCCTACAAGGGTTTTTGGCGTCACTTTGCTGAGTCTTCTCATGATTTTTTTTCGTTACAACTAATACGGAGTTATTTATAGGATCTTTTTGCTGCAACTTATCCATCCTTTCCAGCACCAGTTATGGGGTGGCAAACTGGTCCCCCTTTTGGAATGGGATATATGCAATATAACACTGTCATGGTATCACAATATTTGGATATGCCTCCTAGCTTTTGAATGCCGTTTCTTTTTTATGTATTAAGATATTTCAAAAATCTCAAAGGTACCGTATACTTTACTGTTACAGACAATGCAAGCTTTGCCTCAGCAATCAAAATCAGTGAACCCATTTGATACAAGTGAACCTTCTCAAGTTCAGACTCCAGTGGTATGTGAAACATTCAAGGGATAGTGATGTCATAAAATAGAACAAGTATTGGTGCCCTGTTTGAAATTCGTGATCTTTTCTTCTGAACTTTATTTGTGCTGTCTTCCTGTTCATTATCACAACTGTTCAGACTCATGAACTTGAAAACGTTACAACTTGGATGGATTAGGGTTTTAGGGTAATTTATTTTTCTTTCTTCACTTTTTATTAGTATTATTATGTTTTTGGTGGTTTGGGGTTTTTCTTTTTTTTTTGGTCGGAGTGGTTTGGGGGTTGAGGGGGCGTGTTTTGAGGGAAGAGAGGAAAGAGAGGCATTTTTGACCCTGGATGTTGCTGATGAAGAAAAGGGGTAAGTAGATTGACATGTAGCTGGTTATCACTAGTAGTGCCTGACTACACTTTTTAAACCCCTTGGATTTGTTCGTCGAGATATATTGCAAACCATTAGGTGATTTTTTTTTTATAATTTTTGCCTTTTCGTTTCCCTTTCTATGCAGTTTCCCTCCATGGCATCCTTGCAGGGTGCTTTACCAAATGTCCCACCCTCTTCCAGCCTCATGCATGCTTCCAGTCTTGGTACTCCCACGCAATCGTGGATAGCCCCTCAGGGCACTTATGCATCAGCAGCATCTCTGCAGCCACAACCTCTCGCATCAGCATTGCCGCCAAGTAAGCAACGAATGCAACCTGACTGGTGTAAATAGATTAATGACAATATAAGGACAAGACAAAAGAAAAATTATGGTCTGTATTTTCTATCTGCTGATTCTTTACGTGAATCTTCAGGTGCCTACGTGGGACAGCAAATGCATGGTAACATGCATCCTCCCAGGTGACTATAACTGGTTATAGTTTTCATTGGACGCTGTTTACTTTGCTGAGATATATATATATGGTTCATGTGCTTTGCATGTTATTTCTGTCATGCTTTGCCCATTCACATAGAACTGGCAATATCAAAATAGTGTGCACCTGTTTATTCATGTGTGCTTAAGCTTATGTCGCTGTATAGGCTCTGTTTTTTTTTCGGTCAGAACTGTATAGGCTCTTGAGAAGCACGTATTTTGTATGACCCCTTTGGTGTTCATGGTTGGTTTGATCCCACTTGTCAAACCTGAAATATTGTTTCATGATGCTTTGTTCCCCTAAAGCAAGAAATACCTGGGAAAATTTCCCGGAAGTGTTTTAGTGGCGTGCCTTTATTAGGCTATGAGTAGCGTCCACTCACTGGTTTGCTTTTGTTAGGTATCAAGGACTAGGGGGATTTGGCATGGAGGGGGCTTCCTATGGCGCCTTGAATATGAATCAGTTAGGAACTGCTGGTTTTCAGGCCCCCCGTGCACCGAATTCTTCGGCACCAGTCGGAGGGAACCCGTTTGGCTAGATTGCAAAGAGCAAAGCTCTCTGACATCACTTGGGCATCTCCTTGTTGCTCCTCTTCATCTTGTCCCGTCGAAAGTTTTGGTTTCTTATTTTAATAGAGGCAGCTAGAGAGAGATTCATTTGCATCCATTATTTTGGGGCAGCCGTCAACACGTTGGATTAGTAGATAAAAAAATCACTGGAACTCCAGCCGAAATCACATGGGCTCAAGACGTCTCCTCCTTGATCCAAGTTTTATCTCTTTTTTATGCAGCAAAGGTGTTAATTCTGTTTGTAGATTCTCATTAGGCATTTGATGGTCCAACTCGATTGTTTCTGTTGTAAAATTCCTTCTTTTTTGTTTTAGTTTCGAGATTGTTGCATAATGATCACTACGTTCTGTCAGATGACGTTCATGAAACAAAGCTTGTAATGATGTATTGTGGGGTGTGTATATGTTGATATTATTGAATGATGAGTTTTGTAACCATACTGTCAAGTGTAGCTCTGTCACGTAAGTATTACTGCTCCCCTAACCTGAAAGCACTGAGAATCTGGAGAGAGAGAGAGAGAGAGAGAGAGGATTCAAAACAATAGCAGTTTTTGCATGAACGCAATAGCAGAACACTAACAAGAATCAAAACACCCAGAATGTCTTCACAAGCTTAACAAATGTTGGAATAATTTCCTGGGCGATCTCGCACGTTTTGATTACAAAGAACTTCCGATCGTGAATCCATGAATGCAATCTACGTCGTCATGAGCGAATCATGGATGTGGATTGCCATGCGGCATAATATGTATCCTTTCTATTCTTGCTTAATTTGAAACGGCAGAAACCTTCTACGCTAAATTAACCAGACGTAGTTAGCTTCCTCACTATCATTATCAGCGAAAGTGAAAGCCAAGACGCGTTTATGATTAACTAACTGCACGAAAGATTCGCGTCTTCTGACTCTTTCATCCTGGGCCAGGACCGTTCAACTGCTTCCTACTCTATCCACCGAATTATCCGGCGGAGCATTTGCGGGTTCAATTTACTATTGCATCTGCACAAGTTGGATGACGCCGGGCATTACATACATGGAACTGCAGATTTAGAACTTTCAGACTACGGATGTAGTTCCACCAGCTTGCCTGCTCTTCCGCACAACCGGTGCTACGACCATCCATACTGCACAAGAGCAAACACTTTCCATCACTACTCATTCGTTTACTTTTTTGGTGAAATCAAAAACTACGAAAGAGCTTTTCTGATTGAGCTGACAACAGCAACTTAGCACAACCATAACTGGTTACAAATGGGAAGGAGCTTTCTGTATCGAGAACATACTGAAAACACAGACTGCGACCCACTCGTTGACGATTTTGACCCAAGTGCTCGTCCATCCCACGTCAATTGTCCACCTGCATTAGAATGAGCAGAGAAAAACGTTCACTTTAGTCTGGTGTACATGAAATTGCCTTCTCATTCAGTATTCAAATGAACTTCAGATTTTAATGAGCATTTCGAAGACCAGGGATCATGCTATTTTTGGGTAGTCTTTTTTCCTATTAAAACTGCATTTCCTTGGAACAGCTCTTTGAAACCTTAGCGCACAAAGACTTCAGTTCTGTAATACGAAAAGTAAAGTCAATCTCCAGAATACAGCAAGTCATGTACTTCTTTATAGGGTAGTGACTGTTCCAGCCAATAAACAGCATTCCAAAGTACATTGCTCCCGTGGCGAAAACAAAATGGAAGAAGCCATAGCCATATGGGACATCACTGTCAGCTTTCACTTTAGTCTTCGTGAACTGCAGTTACTTTAAAAGTCATTTTGCTGAATGTTCTAGTCACGAATATGTTTCTGCTTATTGAAGCACAAACCTGAAAGCATTGGGAGTCGATTCCAGTTGAAAAGGTAGCAATGACAATGGCAAGCATCGCTACAATGAAGCTCTGTAGTACATATAAGGCAGTAAGCATAGTCATCCCATTAGTCTATACTATAAGATATAAAAGTAAGGGAACCCAAGCTAAAAATATGGTAGGATGCACAATATTTCAGAGTCAAGGGATTAATTCATAGGTAATTCAATCATGCTACTAAAGTGCATATGATCAGTTAACTCGGCCTTTTGCCAAAACAAAATTTCCTACTCCTATTAGCTTCTCTCAGTAACATTTGGCCCAAATCGTGTAACTACTAAGCCTCTGTACAATGAAAGCTACAGGGACCCCATTAGATTAATCCATTCTATGAACTTCTAGAAAACTAAATTAGCAGGAAAACTTGGTCGTGTATCGAGACTGTAATGAGCATGCTGAAAAAGAAGCACAGGTTTCGTAACATTTGTGATGAACCTTTTCCAGGTAGCATGTAATCAAGTAGATTTAGCTACAATATTTCTTGAGGATGTTGTCAGCTAATTAGATGCAAAAATAGAGAAATGTCAAGAATCCGGATATTACTATGATTGTGAGCCAGTCAGTACTGTGGGAAGCTGCAGCTTTCCTGTTGCAACTTTCTCCTGCTGGTTCACTGGAACTCAAAAGATTAGGAGAAATGTGAATATAACACGAATTGATTTGTAACATAACTAAATTGAATTGAACTCTTCAGTCCACTTTGGAGTTAACTTATGTTGATGCTCCATTCAAGTAAATCCAATCTAACTCGTACAGCCTAATGACTCAACCTCGAAAGCTTGGAAACTTTCTCAATGTATAAAGCTCAATCACTTGAAATGGAAAATTTTTCACTTTTGCTTATTTTTAGGAGTTCGAGTGAACCCCAACCAAGGTCATCACAGACTGAAGTTGCTCAAAGTAATTATTTTAAGTGGGTTTGCCAATGAGGTTGAGTATTGCGGTAAGCTACAGTTCTTGTCATGCAAAATTGTACTTTCGGCAAAAATCTAAGAGAAAACAACATAGTATGGCTGTTGTCCGAAGGCAATTTATCCCAGCAGCGAAGACATAAGAATAGCACCTTCGAATGGCACACCAGCAGATAAACACAACATAGAGTCCCATGAGACCAGGAATCAAGAAGCCAGCGTTGACCTGTTTTACGACCAAAATTAACTAATTATCTGTCTTAATATGACTATTACTGTTGGATTTGGAAAGTGTAAGAACTGACTCACTTTTGGGTGAAGAGAGACGCTGGTCATGAGTTGCAGGAGCACAAGAGTCCAAGTGATGAAGAAAATGTTAAGTAGACAAGACGTCTCCGGTGCATACCAGATGTACATTAAAATGATCCCCCCGATGCAAACAACATATGCAGTAGCTGCAAGTAATAACACCTGGATGTGGCTGCAAGAGAAGTTTCTTAAAATAAATTGGCAGTGATACTTCACTACTCCATTGAGTCCCTCAATTACACAAAAGATATATTCTTGACATATGAGTTAGTTAAATGCATAGGCATCAGTTAGTGAAATTACCATAAAAGTCTTGAATAAACCAAGAAGCTGAGCACTTTTGCTCATGCTGCCTATGTCGTTAGATTATGGAAAGGATTTAGCTGCCTATGTACTCTGGCTGCAATAATAAGTACTTTGACTAGTTACTAAAGCTATGAACCACACTAGAAGTGAGTTTTGTGTCATCTAGGATGTTTGGTAAAAGGTTTCACATGATGCAACGCGCCCAGGAATAGTATCAGATGGAATTTTCGTCAGATGCAGAAGAATGAATTTCCCAAATGAGGAGATGAATCAGACAGTCTTACCACTTCTCTGGATCTTTATCAGACTGACAGCAATTGTTCAGCCACATGATGAAACTGATTATACTTACAAGCTGAACGAGAAGAAAAACCCTGAAAATCATGTCAGGAATTGATGAGAAAATTCCCACAGTTACTTGGTTTTAGCTTAGATATTCTAGTATGATGTAGAGATCGTAGTAACCCAATAATGAACAATACCCGGCACCAAAATGTGCAACCTCTCCTGCCAAGTCAGAGAAACTGTATCACCACCTAGGATGCCATAAATTGGAGCCACCATAGAGCTCAATTGAAAGCAGGATATGCAAAGAGAATCACCATAGATCTGGATAAAGGCAGAAGGAACCAGAAAGGGGACGATAGTCAAGGTAATCAAGAGAACAATCTTGACTGACCACCACCCGGAATGCCATACATTTCTAGGCTCTTGCAACTTCGATGTGTGGACCGTTGAAAGAAACATTATGAAGTAGAAGGTCTATTGCAGGATTAAGGCTGAAGCAATCCATGCAAACAAAGCTGGAAGATACACATAATAAATACGAAGAAAGAGCACCATGAAACTGTAGGTATAATCCTAGTATGAAAGCCAACAAATGATGCGCTCATGTGGAAAGGATATGAAGCATCCCAAGCTGACCCGCAAGACTCCTTCTGCGCCCAAACAATCTTGTGCACCATGACATCCTTCTAATCCTGCAATGGTCAAAGCCTCTTTGAGTCCCTTTCCTCAATGATTTATCTAGCAAATATGGCTGTAGGTTAGCTATAGACCTGACAAATAATACTTCCCTGATAAAAAATCATCTCAAGTGAGAGGATACACTTCACTAGTTTCCTCAAAGAATCCGTGTATTTAAAATCCAAAAAGAAAAATGAAGAACGAAAGAAAAGGAAAAGGAAGAGTGTTGGAGAACACAAATCGCATCCCCTGGGAGCTAACAGAGCGAAACTATTAGTGTAAAGGCAACTAATAATGCCAAAGTCGTTACATTCATTTGGGAGGTTTCAAGTGAATGGACCTGCAAATTTGAGACTCTACAAGGAAACTACCTTGTTAGTTCTGATAAATAGTAGCACCGTGTCCATGTAGATGTGCTCCGTCTGGTGCATGTACTTGTGCTAATCATAGAGGTACAAAGAAATTATAAATCAATGACAACCGTGGAAATCTTACTCTCCATTTCTTTGAGGGCACCGTAGCCGTAATCCCGAGCGACCCAAGCCAGTAGATTACAAACTAGAAACATCAAAGCATACAGATATCTGGCCATCCAAGGGTTAGAGCCATTTCGGAACTGGCCACAACAAGACTCGGCCTTGGAATTCAAGATGGCATTCTCCCTCTCATTGCCACTGCTGCTACTCGCACTGCTATCCATTTCTTCTTCACCAACGCGGCGAACTTCCAGAGCGTTGCATGCCCACTAAAATCTCAGCATCTGCAGGTCAAGCAGGTTAGGATTGTTTATCAGGGATGATCAAAAGAAACAGAATGCTCCGTAAGAGTCCCCAACATGGTCCTGCCTAGGCTTCAGGTAGTTCTTTTCTGATTCACCTCAATTCTAAGGGCTTAAAGATTGTCTCGAAATTGTTTCATGGCCTAGCTCTCTGCGTGGTGTGCTTGGCTTCATACTTGGCAATTTCCTGCCTAGCTCTTCGGAAGCAGGTTGGAAAGGTCTAGCAATTCTGCATTTAATGGAATCATCAACTTTTCTAGCTAAGATTTATCTAAAGAATCGTACCTTGCCCTAAAGAAAGATAAACCGTCCTTCGCACTCCCGGAAAGGTAAACAATTGATAACCTTCGTTCCCAACCCGAGTTGTTGGAACAAACGGAACTTTCCGAGTTATCCACCCAAACTAGCCAACACATACATAGTCCTCCAGACCTTGCCTAGGAAGAAGAGACTTAACCGTTGTGACTTTGACGCTAATATCCAGAGAGCATCTCGACTTATCGCACCCTCTTTCCTTGGGCGGGCAAGCTATGAGATATTACATACAAGGTTTTAGTGTCTGCACCCAAAATGCAAGGACACACAGACGTTTCTTCAAAATGAAAGCAACTTCTCAATTTGGGGAGGACAAAAAAGAGGAGGAGAGACGTAGAATGCAAGGCAGGAACTTTGACAAATGGATTTGCTTAATGAATAAAACCCCCAACTTTTCCCTTTGTTCGGTATAACAGCAATTAACAAAAGATCTTGTACCTCCAAACCCACAATGCAACATTTCATGCTTTCATATCAGCTCTCCCTATTGAACTCATTGAAAAGAAAATCCAGAGACAATGCAATGTCACCATTTAGATCATTTGGGGGATTACAGAGCAGAGAATTCTGAAAAAGAAAGTAGTTACGCAAACCAGCGAAGACAAGCTATTCTTATCCAATGTTGAACAGATTGTAAAGAAAAACATTTTGGGTCTCGAAGAAACTAAACAGTACCTGATGGTTTAAGACATTTTTGTGAAGCTTTAGAAAGATCCTGCATAAGAAGTCCACACTCGCCTCAGATTTCTCCAGGACAAGAACAGGGTGGCAAATTTCATGTTTCTGCTTTGCTATTTGTAACGATAGCACAAGTCCAAAGTCCCCCTCAATTGTTGTTGAATGGTAGACACATGAGAGAGAGAGAGAGAGAGAGAGACTTTTGGAGCTTTCATTTGCCTTCTTTTTTCCCGCCGTACGCATTGTCCTTTTGCTTTCGTTTTTCCTTTTCTTGGTTTTGACATGAGGTCATAGCTCTCATGAAGATTACATGCGACGTCAAATGGATTTATCTTTTGTGAACTGCGATCTCGATAGAACATGAGAATACTTGGATCTTCACTGAAACAGAAAACGGCTGTTTGCTTTGGCGTCACTCAAACTGTATTGTACGAAAAAGAGGGACAACAAGCAAAGCACATTGGAATGAATCGAGCTCTGTGATCATTCCAATAAATCCACCAAGTAGCATCTATGCGTGTATGTATATAAAGAAATCGCCTTATAGTCGAAATGAATCGAGTTTGACCCTCGACAGTACTTTTATCTGCGATCTGCGGCTTAGTAGTTAGTGGTCAAGCATGGATGATTTACACGCCTTGAAAATTTTTTCCCAATTCATCAATCCGGAGTTGACTTCGTCCAGGGAAAAAAAGGGAAGCACATCTACTCGCAATTCAACAAATTTTGGAACGAGATTCAGTTGTGACCTGATAAAATGAGTAGACCCAACAAAAATGAAACTGAAAATATAAAAATCATCGATTAAGGAAGATCGCAGTAATGATTCAAGAATCGAAAGCAAAGGAAGAAAAGTTCCCTGAGAAAAGGAACCTCCACTCAAGTTGAGGAGCTTTATTTATATAAGTAGCTCTTGCTTTTGGCTAAGCAAAAGCAATTGCAGAGTTAGAGCACACATTGCGTGGACAACTCTTCCACATGCTCCTTAATTGGAATAAAAAGACACCAGAACACGTTCATCTAGAACTGCAATAAGGCTGATCCTCTGTCTGTCTTGAAACATCCTTAATTCCCAATAATCTCAATGACAACGTCTTTTTAACTCCTATCTTTTAGGGAAGAACAAGAAAGGCAGAATAGACAAATTTATGTGGGTACTTTTCGTATAGTAAATTGGGGATTAGTTGAATGTCTGTCAAAAAGCTCGAGGCTTTCTAGCTAAGTCTATGTTGGGTTCATGTGGGTGCACATGGTCGCCATTAGTTTCTAATTTCTGCATTATTGTTGTACTACAAAGAGAAAAGAGCAGATTACGCGGCCCTATTAGCTGAGAGTTGATTGTGGGTTGTACACTTTTTGTTGAAAAGCAAACGAGTAAATCAATCATGAGCCTTTGATTTTGCTGTTGAGAAAGATCAGTTTTTCTTTTAACCCGGGCAAAGTTCCTGTCTTGTTTTGTCAGCATAGAGCGAATCTATAAAGAATAAAGCTTGTTTACTGATCGGGTCCAGCTACTTACTTTCATCGGAGGAGAGAATAACTTTATTGGCCCACTTAGGTGCTGCATGAAAACCATTCTGGTTCTGTCCAGAACTGGTTTTTTGTTCTCAGAATCAGTTTTGGACCAGAAACCCGTTTGAGAACGTAATTTCATTTTTCTATTTTCTGACAAGTTTGTTTCCAAAATCGATTTCGAAACCGAAATGAGAACCAAAAAAAGTTGGTTTTTCATTTCGAACAAAAGTGAGAACCATTTCGAGGAATTCATTTTCTTCAACACACATATTCATATGGAAGTCACGATCTTTGAGGTGAAAAAAAAGGAAAATCAAAAATTTCAAAACTTAACATAATGGTTTAGAATCTGTGGCTACCCACTTTCAGTGAAATTTAAATTTTTTTAGGTACCGAAAAAAATAAATAAAAATAAAAAATAAAAAATTTCACAAAATGGCTTAAAAAACCTATGACCACCCACTTTGAGCAAAATTTAATTTTTTTAATTGCCAAAAAACAAAATAAAAAATAATAAAAAATTCTAAAATTTAAAAACTTCACAGAATATCTTAGAATACATGTGGCCACCCAATTTGAGCGAAATTTTATTTTTTTAGGTGCCGAAAAAAATAAAAAAATCAAAAAATCAAAAATTTCAAAACTTCATAGAATGGCTTAGAACACTTGTGGCCATCCACTTTGAGTGAAATTTAAATTTTTTAGGTAAAAAAAAAAAAAAAAATAAAAATTTCAAAACTTCACAGAATAGCTTAAAATATCGCGCCACCCACTTTGAGTGAAATTTAATTTTTTTATATGCCAAAAAATAAAAATAAGCAAAAAAGTAAAAATTTCAAAACTTTACAGAATGGCTTAAAATACCTGTGGTCACCCACTTTGAGCGAAATTTTATTTTTTTAGTTGCCAAAAAAAATTAAAAAAAATTAAAAAATTAAAAATTTCAAAACTTCACAAAATGGCTTAGAATACCTGTGGCCATCCACTTTAAGCGAAATTTAAATTTTTTTAGGTGCCGAAAAAAATAAAAAAATAAAAAATAAAAAACTTCACATAATTGCTTAGAATACCTGTGGCCACCCACTTTGAATGAAATTTAATTTTTTTTAGGTTTCGAAAAAAAAAGAAAAATTTTCAAAACTTCACAGAGTGGCTTAGAATACATGTGGTCATCCACTTTGAGTGAAATTTAATTTTCTTTAGGAACCAAAAAAAATAAAAAATAATAAAAAATACCATTTGGGCATCTAAAAAAAATTAAATTTTACTCAAAGTGGGTGGCTAGAGGTATTGTAAGTCATTATGTGAAGTTTTGAAATTTTTTATTTTTTGCTTTTTTTTCACCTCCAAAATTAAAATTTCACTCAAAGTGGTGCACACATGTATTCTCCCATCTCAGAAAGTTTTGAAATTTTTGAGTTTTTGAATTTTTTTGGGCACCTTAAAAAATTTAAATTTTACTCAAAGTGGGTGGCCACATGTATTTTAAACTATTCTGTGAAGTTTTGAAATTTTTGATTTTTTGATTTTTTTGGGCACCTAAAAAATTTAAATTTCACTAAAAGTGGTGGCCACAGCGTATTCTAACTTTCGTGAAGTTTTGAAATTTTTGATTTCTTGATTTTTTTGAAAAATTCAACAAATTTCCTATTTTCCCGAAATCTAAATTTTTTTATTTTCTCGACATTTTGATGATTTTTCTGGAATTTTTCAATTTTTTGGGATTTTCTGAATTTTTTTAAAGATTTTTATGAATTTTTCGGATTTTTTATTATTTTTATTCCATTTCTAAAAAAATGGATTTTTGTTCCTGGAAATAGAATTTTCTATTGTTTATCAAACGGGTTTTTATTTGGAAATAGAAATTTTTGTCTTTGTTATCAAACGGGTTTCGTTACAGAAATAGAAATTGTTGGTCGTTATCAAACGGGTTTTTTTTCTCAGAAACTCATCCAGGAACCAGAAATAGAAAAATCTATTTCTGGTTCAGGAACTCATTCCGGAACAGAATGGTTATCATGCGAACCCTTACTAATCTACTGCATTTGCAGTTCTTCTCTTGCACACTGCACGAGTGCTCTTACAGCTCAGTCAATGACACGCCCTGACCCGACGTTGAGATCTGCATGTAAAGCCCAATACCCAATCGCCTTCCGTTGAGAACAGATTGCCTGTAGCCATTTCAAATGCCACAAGCCTTACATGGCAAGCCTGTCGATCTTTTGAGCCCATTTTTGTCCAATCCTCTTTGAGCCTACTTCACCTCTCTCTCGGAAAAACTCTTAAGCTTCTTTCTCTGGACAACTTGGAGGCCGCACTTCACGGGTCTCCGTCGCCGCTGGCCGGTTCGCAAGTTGTCCTCGCTCCCAACCTCTTTTCTATGCCAATCAGCCAGGAATGAAGATCGCCAACACCAGATTTATGCTACGGGTTAGATTCCCAACTATGAAAGGGAGGCTGGCCTTGAAAGCGATTCGTTTGCGCGGCCCATTTTCAAGGACTTTGTTTTGAGAGAAGCCCAACACCGAGTTTTGTTTGAAAAACTAATCATACTGATGCATGCATAACTCCCATCTAAGTTCATTTTGTCCTTCGCATTCTCCCCAACTTGGAAAGTTCACGGATCTGTCATGAATAGGGAGTGTTATGAACACGACTGTCGATTACTTATTCATTTTCCACCAACAGAGCTTCGAAGGGTCTTTTCAGGGCTCGAGCGATCTCTCTGGGCGCGCATTTGACAACCCGAATAATGACCAAAGAAGTGCGCAGGTTCGTGCACTTAAAGTGGCTCGAAAACAACCGCACGAATACGACGATTCAAACTCGGACAGCGCGGCAACGGAATCAATCACATTTGCTAGTAGTTGCCAGGGGGTTATTACTCGAAGGGGTCTGCAGGAACTTTAGCCTGCAGACTCAATTTAAAGTCATCCCACTTAAGGACACTGGCATTTAAGGGCGTTGCTCGTCACAAAACACAGAAGTAAATCAATGCGTGGGACCTTTCTTGCCGTCCGTCTCATGCAAATCATTACGCACTTGACCTGGCCTTCCTTCCGAATTTCGTGCGGACGCTTTCTCTGTTGCGGCACATTAGATTGCCTTTCGTTACACTAAGCCTTTTGAACTCCTTCATCGCCAAGATGCTCTCCATCTTATCATGCAAAAGGGTTAAGTTCTTAACGATTTCAGTACGCGGTCCGGTTAACCATTGCTCCTCAAGTCACTTCTCAAACATACTTAGAAAGAAATCTTTGACGTGCTGGCTACGGCGGAAGTGCCTCGACTGCACTCGTTGATATGCTTCCCTTTGAAATCCGACAAAGTGTAGGGCCGTTTGTTGGCTGAATCGTAACAACTGATGCAAAAGATTTGAAGAAGGTTTAAGAGGTGGGTTGGGAAGTTGGGTTTGGGTGAAGATGCCTTTTGGTTAATTTATTGCTCTTGGAGCTCGAACATCATCTGGCTAATGGGCCCAATGACGGTAATTGCCATTAATCTACTCGACCTAATCACAGCCTGTGTCCCACACAAGAGAGCCCTCCTTAATTAAAAATGGCAGAGAGAGAGAGAGAGAGAGAGAGATAGAGAGATGAGATGAGCAAGTCAACCGAGCTTACAGAGCATTATCAATGAAAATACACACACACATTTATGTATACATCACACCGTGATGTGTAAGCCCTAACAACCCATGTGGATGTTATCTCGAAGATGGTCCATCCATTGCCTCATTTCATCGACCATCCCTTCTGGTGGGGGCAGGCACTGGCCTGCTTCTCTTTGACAGCACAAGAGACAGAGAGATGGTGACAAGTGCGAAGTCATATGTATGTACTTCAAGAGTGAAGTTAAAGGGTAAATTAGTGTGAGGACGTAGTTGGTTGTTTGTCTTGTTCTTTTACTCTCCACATCAGCTATCTAAAGCATTAGTGCACTTAGATTATGACCCAATTGTCCTTTTTTTTCCCCTAGCCGGCTCCTACCCCTTTTTCTAAGTTAGCCGTACAAAAAATAAGGCGTGGTCGGCAGAAACTGCGCGTTCCATGGAACACTTCTTTATCTCGAACGCATTATGTGCATTTCTCTAACAAAGGAAGAGAACATATTGAATCATTGCCAGCCACCCTTTGATATTCGCGAGATTCTAGATGATTTCTTTAAGAATGTATGATCATTTTGAGCTGAAATCCATCGAATGTGTGGCCGTGATCTCACTGATCAAAGGAGGAGATGAGGGGAAAAAGTTGAAAGAATGACACAGAGAAATCACTCTTGAAATCATGCGGCAGATACCCAAACGAGCGTGCAGGATAAGCAGACCTAGACAACCATGCCATATGGTCCTTCCCTCTATCACATCTGAGCCGTGGAAACTTATTTATTTTTTTTCCCATTTTAGTGTTTTATGGGCAATTGGTATATGCAGATAAATTTGGCTCTCTAAAATTACAGCTTTTTTCTTCCGAACTGTGGCCCTTGAATTGAGATTCTAGGCAAGAAAGGGACTTGCACAGAAACAAATGCCACACCATCACTCACATGGGGTTGTCCATTTCACAGGAAATGTAATCAGTGATGTTGCCAAATACAGATTCTGAATTCCGGGACACATTGGTAGGACAATCAACTGGGTCAGAGCACAGTTCTTTACCTTTTATTTTCAATTTTCGGTAGGCTGAATTGGTCAATTGAATCAACATAGTTGGGCATTGTTACCGAGAAAAACCCATTTTGGATCCATGCTCAGCTCATTATGCCTGGTGTGACTCGTGAGTTCTGAGAGTGGTGATCGCTTTCTTGAAGTGGTTGGTTGGGTTGCATGGCAAATGGGGATAGGTCATTTTTACATAGTGGATGGTACGAAAACGAGTGTTGTTTTAGTACCGAGTTGCGAGTTGCGGTGGGAAGGTGATGAGTACGAGTGCTGAAAAGTGGAGAATCGGATTGAATTTTGGTTTCCGCACAGCAACTGGATCTCGAGTCCTGCAAAGATTTAAAGATGGGATTGTAGCAACTCAGGCGAAAATGAAAGGAGTGTGATCGTAACCAGAGCCCCATTATTGTCCCCCACTAGCAAAGTGAACGAAGGTCAAAATCTTTTCCTTGTTCCAGAAAGAACCTCCCGAAGAGATTTGAACACACTCAATCCCCACACCCAAATCACCAACGCAACGCCTCATGTTGGACAACTCGTTCTGCGAAATCAAGTCAGATCGAATTTCTATCGGACCTATAGAATCTTTCATTATGATCTACACACACTCTGTCTAGCGTTCGAGGATTTATGTTTCGATTTTTTGCATCTTGAGAGAGTAATAATTATGGAAAAGCTTAAAGCTGCATGCTTGAAAACTTCTTTTTCAGAAAGTTACGCGAGGACTGAGACATTGGTCAAAAGGGAGAGGCCAGCTGGGGATATACTAATGAGGCAGAGCATCAGACGCAGAAGCGGGGTTGTCTGCACAGCTTCTTAATGGCTCGAGTTTTTTTCAATTTCTTTTCTTCTTTTTGATCTTTTTTGACATTATGAAATGGCGAAAGGTAAAAAGGGTTCTAGCGAGATCAAAGGGGGATCGCCATTACACATTCCAATGGTGGGGGGGGAGAGGAGAAAAGTGTAAGCGTGAAGGAACAGGTTTCGTCTTTAAAGTAATTTCAAAACCTGCGTTAAGAGGGGTGCACATGATATCAATCCCAATGTCACTAGTTTATTCCGATAATGACTTTGAAATACTTGAAAACGTCGCGCCAATCAAGGGAGAGGAACTTGAGAAAAGGGGCCAGTTCAGGTCCCACCGAGATCGCTTTTGGGAGGTGGCCCAAATTGATTACGAACCAGAAGAGAGAAGATGAGATCTCACTAATCAGCTCTCGAAGGCAAAGGATAAAGCAGAATGTTATCAACCAAACACCAGATGGGCACTCAGATGATCCCACCTTCGTGCTCTTGTTCTTCCTCTATCAGAACAGGTTTGTCTGGAGCAGAGTTTTCACAAGTGTTTTAAGGAAGTGTGAGAATGGTCAAAACATGACCATTGGTTCCCTAGCTCTTTCGAGAAAGGAGGGTAATTCACCCAAGTCACTGGCAATTCATTCAGCATTGGACGAAAAAGAAGGAACAGATCGATGTGAGCACAAAGAATTTTACCCAAATTAGAGGGCGCGAATGATCATCAATCTGATTACATAGAGAGAGAGAGAGAGAGGAACCCAATTTGGAATGGAAAGGAATGATAATTCTGAAATCAACATCGATACAAGTAAAAATGTTCATCATGATTATACTGTAAAAATCAAGAAAAAGAAGGAAAAGAAAAATGAACAAAAAGTATGATTATAAAATGAGATAGACAACAATAAACCCCCCACAAACAGCAAGCCGCACTAGCACAGCAGCCCCCTGGATTTCGAGTAAAAGGCCCCCCCGATTAAATCGATCTCCAAATTCATGATATCATCATCCCTATACATACACTTTCTCTGCAACCTACTCCTTTCTTTGTCCGGAAATTTTATTTGACATCTCGAGATTATGCATAACAATTGCAAATAAATATGGAGAGAAGAGACCATCTCCTCTTACCTCCCTGTCTCTCTGTCTCTTGTCCCTTCGCCTCTTTCCCTCGTGTCATCCTCAACAACAGACCATCTTAAGGGGGAAAAATCACATCTAAAAACTGCACAAGATCCCTTTTTTCCTCAATCCCATTTTCCATCTCCGGCGAGCGACGAGAATTGCCCACATAGAGAGAGAGAGAGAGAGAGAAGGGGATCGGATTGGAATGAAGCGCCGATGGCAAGAGGAAGAAGAGATGTCGAGAGCACGAAACAAATAGTGAAACACACTGGACTGACTGGAATTGTAATTCTTAGGTGAGGGGCAAGGTTAGAGGAGGAAAATTCTCAAAAGAATCAGTAGAAGGGTGGTGGAGGAGGGGAGGCGTACGAGACTCCGGCAATAGGCGGCAGTGGCCCTTCGTATGCTGGTGCTGGAGGTGGAGGCGGAGGCGAGGGAGATGGGGGCGGGGTCTCGCACGGGATTGGTGGCGGAGGCGGTTGGGTTGGTGGTGGAGGGGGTGAACTGTAATGAACTGGTGGTGGGGGTGAATGGTGATAAACTGGCGGGGGTGGAGGTGGGGACGGATATACTGGGGGGTGGGGGGTGGTGGTGATTCATAGACTGGGGGAGGTGGTGGTGAAGGAGATGGTGGTGGCAAGTAATGGGTCGGTGGTGGTGGTGAGGGTGAGGGTGGAGGGGGCGAATATTCAACACATGGAGGCGGAGGTGGTGGTGGAGGCTCTATACAAGGTGGTGGCGATGGAGGTGGAGGAGAATGGACAGGTGGTGGTGGGGATGGTGATGGCGGAGGTGGGGAAGGATAAGGATAGAATGGCGGCGGAGGTGAATGTGGAGGTGGTGGTGGTGAGTGAGGCGGAGGGGGTGGTGAATGATGCGGAGGAGGCGGCGGTGGAGGCGAATTATAGTAGTACGGAGTGGGTGTGGGCGGTGGCGGGGGTGAGTATACTGGAGATGGCGGTGGAGGCGAGCCTGGCGGTGGCGGAGGTGGTGGCTTGGGACAGTAAATTGGCGGAGGGGGTGAAGGTGAAGGAGGCGGAGGTGATGGTGGTGGTGGAGAAGGCGGCGGGGGAGATGGCGGAGGAGGCGGGGGAGAGTAAACAGGTAGAGGCGATGGCGGCGGCGGTGGTGGCGGAGGAGGTGAATAGACTGGTGGCGGGGGTGGTGGAGGTGGGGGAGGTGAGTAAACTGGCGGTGGCGGCGATGGTGGCGGTGGCGGAGGCGAGTAAACTGGTGGCGGCGGCGGTGGAGGTGAATGCACAGGGGGTGGTGGGGGCGGCGGGGACGAAGGGAGAACCACCGGAGGTGGAGGCGGAGGAGGCGGGGGCAGAGAAGGCACAAAAGGAGTACACCGGAAGGCACTGCAATCCACAGGCTTGGACAAGAACGACTTACATTGCGCCGGCGACCTCTGCAACGGCCTATCCGGCAGGCAGTTCCTCCGATCGTCAAAGTCCGGCAGCCTCAAGCACGACGGCGGCTCTCCGGTGAAGAAATTGTACGAGAAAGTGAAGTTCTCCAACCGGGGCAACGCGCAGATGCCGGCCGGAATCTTCCCCGACAGCAAGTTGTGAGCCACATTCAGCTGCTCCAAGCTCACCATCCCGCCGACCCCTTCCGGCAGGGGCCCCACCAGCTGGTTGTAGCTGAAGTCGAACACCGTCACGTTCTTGAGCCTCCCGATATCTGTCGGCAGGCACGACCTCAGCCCGTTGTTCATGAAGATGATCTCGTTGAGGTTGGCCATGTTGACCAAGCTCGAGGGGACGCAGCCGTGGAACTTGTTGTTGGCGAGGACGATGACGGAGACGGGGGAGTTGCCGAAATTGTCCGGTAGCTCGAAGCGGAAGCGGTTGTCGTTGATGAAGACGGCGTCCAGGTCCTTGTCGAAGAGCTCCTTGGGGACGGTCCCTTCGAACTCGTTGAACCTCAGATCCAGGAACTTGAGCGACGGCAGCCTCAGGACCACCGCCGGGAACTTGCCGGCGAACCGGTTGTTGCTCAGATCCAGCTCGAACAGCAGCTTCAGGCGGTCGAACTTGTGGGGCACCGTGCCGCAGATCCGGTTGGAGTTGATGTGGAACAATGCGAGGTCGGCGAGGAGGCCGAGCTCCTCGGGGAGGTACCCGGCGATGTCGCAGTGGTTGAGGTCGACGCCGGCGACGGTGCGGATCTTGGGGTCGTCGGGGGCGGGGGCGCAGAACACGCCCGTGTATCCGCACACGTCGGATCCGACCCAGTCGGCGGTGCAGTTGTTGGGGTCGGAGAGGATGGCCTGCTTCCACGCCTGGAGGGCTACGTAGGCGCTACGGATCCGGGGGTTCTCGAAGGCGAGGGACGGGTCGACGGCGACGTGCTCGCCCCGGTCGCCGAACTCGTCCCGGTAGTAGAGCAGCTGGCGCTGCTTGATGTACGTGGCTTCGGCGTCGGTGAGGCCGCCATGGGAGCTCACCGGGAGGCGCTCCGACGAGGCGGAGGCGGCGGCGGCGGCGGCGGCGCAGAGGAGGAGGAGGAGGGAGGAGGAGGCGAGGAGGAAGAGATGGGTCGTCGTCTTCTTCATCGCACGTGCGGCATCTGAGGACGGAAAGAATGCCACTTTTTTTGCGCCGGTGCCTCTCTCTCGGTGGGCAGCGTCCCCGTCACTCTCTCCCTCTGGACTGCAGCAATGTGGGTTCGTCCGCCGGCCGGAGCTCGCGAGATCTGCGGGGGGGGGGAGCGCTAGAGAGAGAAAGCGTGGGCGAGCAGAAGAGAGAGAGTTGGGGTGCGTGTGTGTTTGTCTGGAGAGGAGAGAGAAAGGGAAGGGGGAGAAGGAGAAGGGTTTTTTCTAGGGGATTTTTGGGGGTGGTGGGGGGAGGATGTGCGCGTGAACTGTGAAGTGAGAGGGGGGAAGTGTGGAGACGCGAGAAAATAATGCATCGACGGACAGCTAAATCACAGCTCAAAAGCCCACCAGATTCTCTCTCTAACTTTCTCTCCCTCTCTCTCTCTCTCTCTAACTTTCTCCCTCTTTCTATCTTTTCATTTTACTTCGATTCCTTTTTCTTTATAATAATATTCTATGGCAATTTTCCTCTCGACGGGAAAATGGCACGAACGGCTCATGAATTTTGGCCCAACGCGTAATGTGATTCCTGAACTTTTAATTTGTTCAATGTCACCATCAATTTAGTCGATGAACTATATGGAAAAGTTCAATATAGTCCCTTCAATTGATTCAAGTTTGGAGATTGCGTTGAACATTTTCGTATAGCTCGGAGATTACATTGAACAAATTAAAAATCCAATTTATCACATTGAACTCTGGTTGAAATTTGGGGACTACATTGAATAAATTAAAAATTCACGGATTATATTGCACATTAGGTCAAAGTTCAGGAACTGTTTATGTCATTATTCCCTCTCCGTCTCGACTTTCTTCCTCTCTTTAAATCTTTCAATTTTCGTTTTTAATTTTTTCCGTGGGGGAACTTCCGTCTCTCGTGAGACGGTGGTGGCCTTTATTCTTCTTCTTCTTCTTCTGTAAAATCCTATTCCCAACTCGTCAATTTCCCATTTTCAAATTATAAGTAGCTCAAAGCAAACTGAGGGTGCAATAATTTCTTTCCTTTTTTTTTCCTCTTTTTTTTCCTCCTTTCTTGTAAAGGGGCGACCCATTATTTATTGGGGTTGGTCTGTAATGATGTTTCGGGAAAACTAATCATTGGTGGGGGTGGATTAATCACTGCGACTGCGAGCCGGTGGTGCCGCCGGATTCCGGCGACCTTTCGTCGCCGGCGCTGGGGGAAAAGGTCCGAAGGCCGGTCGCCGGCGGGCAAAGTGCGCTCGCGTTCACGAGACTCACCGACTTTTCGTTCTTCTCTTTTGCTTTCGTAAATATTATTTATTTCTAATTTAAAAAAAAAAAGAAGAAGAACAGGAATTCGGTTCGGAGCGGTGACCTGGACAAGAGGGTTTCGGGGAGTCCGTTTGGGCGTCGCGTCATTTGTCAAAATCAGATGGCTCTCTGGGACTCAAATGAAAAATTTGCCAACCGAGGTAACGATCTGTGCAATTACGTAATTGCCCCCATCGCGCTGCTTTATCCTACTGTTGAACAAAACCGTGTTGTTTTTTTTCTATTTTTTTTTGGTCTTCTGTGCCGAAAGTGGAAGCCGCGCCATCGTTTCGATCCCGCCCCTTTGCCGTGGAAATATCATGATAAAGGCAGTGCTGGTTTCACGAAATGTTAATGATTTACAAAATATTTTCTTTAAAAGTAATTATTTATATTGCTTGAAATAATTAATCCATATAGCGATTTATGTCTGAACATTTTCATGGATGATAAAAATATTTTCCGTCCATTCGTTTTCGTAAATGATCATTTTTAGGAAAGTTATTTTTTCGAATCATTTGTTTTTCACGAAATAAACAAAGGCCGTGCTTAATCGAAATCCATTTCTCGTTTCGAAACACATGGGAAGGGACGTGGATTATGGGTTCGAATATGTTTAATCGCAAAAAGAAGTGTCCGACGTTATCTCGAATCTCGGATGCTATAGTAAAAATATAAAATCGATTTGTTGAAAGTTAAACAGTTTTCAAACGCACTGTTTAATCCTTTTCATCAAGGTTTTTTTTTTTGGTATCGTAAAAACAAATAGTATTTATAATTAACAAAACGCTATGATTTTCCTTCTAATTTTGCGTGCATTATTCATGTGATATTTCCGTATACTGGTAAAAGAAAAACACGAATAAAGATAACGTCCACTCGAGGCCTGGACGCGCTCCAACTAACCTTTGGAAGCGTTCCGGTCAATGGTCAAGGGTAATTATATCATATTCGGCTTTAAAAAAAAAAAAAGAAGAGAGAGGCCATCATGGATTATAAAATCAAAAGGCCAAAAAAACCGAAAAAAGAGGAGCGAATTGTACCATTTTTAAACGTAAAGGAAGCTCGCCCAACGGTTTAAAAGCCAAACCTCCATTAAATATTTTGTACCTAATATTGCTAGAAAAATATTTTAAAATAATTACGATTCGTATATAATTATATTGAATTTATATAAGCGAGTATGTATAATTTATAACGACTATTTATTTGCTAATAATGGGGGTAAAAAACCCAAACGAAAGAGAGCCATCGAACATGCGAGGGGGGCGGTAGGCAGGTGACTGGAAAAAGCTCTTTTTTTCGCTTAAGAAAGCAGGAAAGCATCAAATCTCCAATGATTTATCGCCTCTCCTTTCTTCGTTTTTTAACCAACATGGGCACGTTACTTAATTTAGGTTAATCATGCCGCTTGATGCGTTAGGCCAGGCCCCACTAAGCCATTTAAACATAGTCTATTAGCTAGTTTAATGTGAAGCGGGAAATTTCAATTAGTGCTATTATTGCGCGCTTAGAAGCGTAAAATCAACGCACTTATCCCGACTATTTATTTGCTAATAATGGGGGTAAAAAACCCAAACGAAAGAGAGCCATCGAACATGCGAGGGGGCGGTAGGCAGGTGACTGGAAAAAGCTCTTTCTTCGCTTAAGAAAGCAGGAAAGCATCAAATCTCCAATGATTTATCGCCTCTCCTTTCTTCGTTTTTTTACCAACATGGGCACGTTACTTAATTTAGGTTAATCATGCTTAGGCCAGGCCCCACTAAGCCATTTAAACATAGTCTATTAGCTAGTTTAATGTGAAGCGGGAAATTTCAATTAGTGCTATTATTGCACGCTTAGAAGCGTAAAATCAACTGCAATTATCGTGCCAACATTATGCGTATCACCTATTTGACCAACCAAAAAATAAAAAGAAATTACATCGTTGTACTACTTGTTTTTTCTTCATCTGTCGCATGTATTTCCGCATTTTGGGTCGGTGGCTATTAGATACCATTTAATGATACGTTTTTTTTTATTCCCGACGAGCAACCTCGACAGTGAAAAGGGGTTTTGCTGCCTTTACGAGCTGTTCGACAATCGCCTCACAGCTATGGCGCCTTTAGAGCTACGCGCTTTCGTTGTACGACAATTTATGTCGGCTTTCGAGAAGCAGGTCCACCCAATTTTAAGGCGTCGCGATTTTCCAAACCCGTTGCACCAGGCATGAACGTTACGACGCCACATACATTACAACTCGATAAATCTACAATTCAGTCCCGAGTTACAACTAACATCGGCCGGGCCGCCGGTCTCACTAATGAATTTCCCCATGTCTATTTCTTTTTTTCTTTTCTTTTTTTTTTAATTTGGCCTACGTACCCTTTTCGTCTACACTTTTGATGAGTCATTTTCGCTAATTACATCGTGGGGTTCGATATCCAGAAAACGGCGTCGCATGAAAGAAAGGGGGGTTTTAATTCCGTGGGGCCGGCCCCACGGCGTCATGCTCATCGTCGCCGTTGGAAAGGGACCCCACGCTAGGTTGGTGCACCGTCGCCCTCGCGCGTCGCGCCGCACCCAAATTCCGTTTCAATTTGCGGGGGAGAAAGAACTCGTTAATTACTAAATTGCCATTTCTCGCGATTGTTTTTTAAATTTTTTGGTCAGACTATTTCTCGGGAATTAAAAAAAAGGAAAAAAAAATTTCAAGCAAGTGGCTACTTGCTGGTCGGGACCAAAACGCGCTTATGTGTTATTTGAAAACTAATTTCCGAATACTTACCTCCACCAGATGAAAATTTCCATCGACAATTCTCGGAAAAAAAAAATTGGAAATTCATTAATAACGTATATGATATAATATGATTACGTGTCCTGGAAATCCGGCTTTGGAATTAGTGACTCGGCCGTATATTCACACTACAACTATTTACGATAGCACTATAAAATAGAAATTGCTTATCATCCCGTACCTATTAGAGTCGGTTCCCCTGTCTTCACTATTTTCTATCAAGAAAATTTATCGATAAATTCCGGCTCTCGAATTTTTTATCAAAGCCATGATGTAATTAATATGTCGTCACAACCTGTGAATTGCAAAATGCATAAAAATTATTTATCGAATGTCTCGAAATTGGTCTCTTCCCTTTACAGCAAACGGGGCACAAAAACAGGAAAAGAAGGGAGCAATTCTTTTTCTTTTTTTTCTTTTTTCGAAGAACTCATTCGACAATTTTTAATAGTCAAACTCATCGAATAATTATTTTATTGGAATATTAGTATCGAGTGCCCTTTTTACCGGGAAGCTTCGATGTGAATATTTAGGGTACGCCAATTTGGGCCAAAAAGAAACAAAAAAAAAAGCGAATAAAATACCTACTTATCAATAAATTAATTCGCTAAAAAAAAATAAATTTAATTCGGGATTTATTCACTGTAAGCCCGCCCCTAACCCGCGGTCCACGTCACGGGAAGGCGCGTGGGGCCGTACCGCACACGTAACCGGACAACGGTGCCAGCCGGCAGCCCAGCTGTACCGCGGTACAGCGACACGTGTCGTCATCCGGAGCCTCCATCTCGTCGTCGTCGCCTCGTCGTCCGTGATGCGACCCAGTGCATCAGCTGCGCAACGCGCGAGCGAGAGAGAGAGAGAGAGAGAGAGAGAGAGGAGGATGGGTGGTGGTGATGGGGCCCACGTGGCATGAAGGCTTCATCCGCTTTGACCACGCGAGGGGCTCGTAATTATCGCCCGCCACTCGCACATCTACGAAAAGTCAATTTTGGCCTTTTTTTTTTAATTTTCACAAACACCTCTTTTTTATTTTAATCCGGATTTTTTGAGAAAAAATTATAATATTAAAG